TGTGAAACATGAAGTCCATCTCAACATGTGGTAGACATCTGCCGCTGTAGAAATCGTTGACGATGTACGCTGGGAAACATACACGGAATTACAGGTTTTTTAGTCGGAGTTTATTTTAAGAGCTAATGTTTACAATTCACCAGAATACAAACGTGGAAGCCACGGCAGAACGAGCAAGACACCCAGCATGTGTGAGACTGCATAGTCAAGCATTAAGTGTACTCCAGACTTCAGAGTCCTCTTCGATAAATAACCTGAATGAGGAGATTAAAACACCACTCAATTAATCCCTAAAGTCTATTCACAAGTTTCGTATGAATGCCTTTTTTCTCAATGAAGGTGTCAGCCTGAGGCTCGCTACCATAGATCGGCAGTTTATCCATAGTCAGTAGATCAACGATCCACGGCCGGAGCCCAGTAAAGCTCAGCTACGTAGAATTCTCATTACCTTTACGTTGCATTTGTGCGCCGAACTCCCTCATGCAAAAACCTCAATCAAGTTTTATCCCTTATTCCGCTTGGCTTGTCTACAACGTCTGAAACAGATCTAACGAGGGTTCTTTCTCATGCCCTGACTTTGGTTTCTGCTATGGGCTCAGCTTACTGTGAGAACGCAACAAAAGGCATTGAAATTCTAGTATTCTTTATCAAACACTCACATGCAAGAAACCAAAGCCTGCACACGACTTCTACAAGTGATACGAGGGGTTGAGTTCAGACGCACCCGACGAAACCACTTCTTTCTCCGATTGTCAGCTTTCTCTGCTGATGAACGGAAGACATCTATAATATACAGGAGAAGATCGCCAGTCAATACTTTTGTTGGTGGATGGTATTGGTGCTTGAGTTTGGAAGACAGATTTACCAAGAATACACAAAGACACGTTTTATGTGTGTGAGAGTAAGTTTACTTACATACGACACGTGCCATGATGTGTGAGGCAAATTCCAGACTAAGACTTGCCCTCTTAAAGCTAATGCTGTGTAACGCCGGAATAATCTAACCCACAAGCCTAATAGGAAAACCTTGAGGAACCTTTTTCTTATGTACAATTGCTTATAGCAAAAAAAAAGGTACAAATAGTATCGAAACTAAATATTGTGATGTAGCTACACTGAACTGAAACAAAGCCGATTCATTCGCAATCTAGAAACCTATCTTCAGAACCTCACAGGTGGCCAGCATCATTGAAGCTCTGCAGTGCAGTTGAATGGTGTACGCTGACTTGATGATTGGTTAGCCAGTGCAGGAACCAACTCCCCTCGTCCCAGATCCTTAGTTGTAATTTTCCTCGGTAAACTTGGGCCTTCCCATACTACTCTCCATTACAGAGCTGAGCATTTTTTGACCTTCAAATTGGGACAAATCTGCTGTCAGACGTCCAATTTGATGCTGCAATGAAGCAACGGAGGTATCACTCTGAGTCTGTGATTGTACCCTGGCTTTCCCGCCCTTTTTAGAAGCAATACCCTGTTTCAACTCCAGTCTGTAAAGAGCACAGTCAGTGCAAGATGCGAGCTCATATTCATATAAATGCCATTCATTACGTCCCTCAGGCTGCGGATCCATGTAGTACGAGCGCTTCAATCCTCCAAGGTCTTTCATCACTTCACTTGTTTCCTTGACTCATGCCAGCCACGTCCTTCATAATCAGGTAGTGATCGCTGCTTCCGTCTTCCACTCTCAAAAGCACGCCGAGGTTTGTCAAAAAATAGCCATTCTCGCAGGGTCTCACCAGGGTGGACAGCTACATCGAAAAGATCTGCAATATGAAATTGTTACAAGCGTAACAGTACAGTCGCAAATAATACCAAGATCACATACACAGATTATCTACGAAGAATGAGGACTGTGACCAACGTCAAATTACAAATCATTATACATAATCCTAATGAAACACAAACACCACTGCCAAAAAAGCAAGAGAGTAATTGACTGCAATGAGGCCCCACTCTTAATGCCATCCAACTTCTCGATCAGAGAATGATGCTACTAATGACACCAGCTGAGACTTGGACTTACTCAGAGTCATGTCAAACAAGACATAATTCACAAACCTCTCATACAAATATACAACTGAGGTACTACAACTTTGCACCCAAGTGAACAAAAGCTTTACTGGAGGCATCCCTGGAGCACCTTCTTTAATAGCCAGATCCTCGTGGAAATGACTGCAATAGTGAGCGCGTCCATTAGGACCTACAGCAGGCCTAGGACAATCCCATAGAGCGCACTTCGGGTATAAAAAAGCTGCTGAAGGAGGTATGATTGGTCTGGAACTGTAATCAGACATTGAATGAGCAGTAAGTTTTTCTGCGGCTCAAGCGGAGCTTGAAGGACTTCATCATATCGTCCTGCACTTGCTCCCGCTTCAAGGTTAGATTGAGGATTTTCTTGAAGGATCTGCTCTATCCTCGCAAAAGCTTCCAAGCCTACAGCTTCCTACAACACAACATATACACTAGATTGATAAATTCGAGGCTAAGATAATAAAGAAAAAAACTTGTGGCGGGGATCTTTCAAATGACGATCTACATGCTTTGGGTAGAACAAGACTTCAAATTGAAAGTCTGATTTGATGTCTAGCATTACCTGGTAAGGAGCAGGACTCGGAGGATGACGATTGTACGACTGCTGTTCCAATTCTGATGTCATCGGAGCTGCCTTGCTGGTCGCATCATCATCCTCATCCTTCAGCGAGAACTGTAACAAGCGCTCCATGTCGGAGGAAAGTTCTGACGAGCTAGGGTTTGCACTTTGCTGCACAAAAGAAATAGGGTTTACAGTTCACTTTTTGCTAGAGATCGCAACAATCGCTGGAGGTTCGAGTATCGGCTATAGCCTGCAACGATTGTCATGAATAGGGGGCAGATATAACACCGGATGCTTGCAGCGAATTACATCAGACCAACATAGAGCCTCGGAAGAGCAGTTCGAATAATCAAACTGAATTCCATGCATACGACTTAAGGCTCCGTGCATGCTAGGGATCGTAATGAGACTATCAAGCATAAACTTACCAGCAGGGAATTAGCAGGGGAAGCCTCCCGCAATTCAGCTTTCCACTCCCTCAACATCTGCTGCATCTGCTCCTATAAAATCGCCACATCCTCCACTCGACCCTCTCGGCGAGCCTGCTGCAATTCGGAGACCATGCCCTGCAAGTCATCCACCCTGTTGTTCGTTTTCATCCTTAAGTGATGGGAGCTTCTGCTGGCCTTCTGCTTCGTTGCTGTCACGTACAAGCAAATCAGTTACCGCCCAAGCTCACAATCGATCCAAACAACCCAAAATCATAATGTGGCACACAATTCTTCCCGACAACTTCCAGATTCACTGCAAGATCATCTCCACCCATCTATCGACCACATCACTCGCACAGAAATCCATCACACACTCTCTCGCACTCGCTCTCTACTTGCTACAACACCACGATCGGCTGCATTGGCAACACCACCACGCCCTTCTCCCCTTGCAACAACTCTTAAACCGACAACCAACAAAAGATACATGGCCCATCTGGCAGACATCCAAGAAGAATCGAGGTTTCAAGCGCTGAAATGCAAAGATTCTGACCCATAGCTACACGGATTGCAACTAGAGCCCCCTGTCTCAGCACAGGCTTCATTCACAATGTTTTCACGAGGCATTCAAATCCACGTGGCGGATGACGTTGCAGCTCACATTCCCACCACCGCATGCTCTTTCCATTGCCCTTTCAATCCTGTGAGTGCTGAGTTCGCACTATACCCCAATTACAGAACACCAAATATTTAAATCCGTTGTTGTTGTGGAAACAGTGCATGCTTATGTGAAATGGTAGAAGATGAGAGTACTAGAGTACAAACAAGCCTCCGAAAGGGCATATGGAACAAGAACAAGCAGTTGTAATGAATTTTGTGAGAGAAAATGTTTTCTTGCCTAGAGGGGTAGAAGCTAACTCTCACTTTGGCTATCCTTCGCAGTATCTGGAATTGAAGCATGAAGTTTCCACTACTATAAATATATAAATATATATATATACACACACACATACTGAAGCACTGGTGGCTTATGGCGCAGCCTCCAGCACAGTATTGAATGAAATGCTCGATGTTCATAGGAAGAGCGGCCGGTGATACGCTAACACCGCTGCCGAGGAAAATAATACAACATTCATGCTCGTGCAAGCTTTTTGCATTAACGTGAAGATTTTGCTTCGTAGGTTCTAGCAGGAAGATGTGCAAGATTTTTGAACATGCATAGGGCATAGATCAGCATATCGATATTCCAATATCCACAGTCTGAGAAGCAGATGTGTGCACAGAGTTGAGAGGTTTGAGTGAACAGAATTGAGGTGCTCGAAGCGGTCGCAGGAGGTTTTAGGAGCACATTGCGATGCCTCTCAGTTGCGGCCAATTCATGAAAGTGGCGCGACGGATCGTTTTGCTTTCGCACAAGCTCTCTACCCAATTTGACTGCTGGACCGACTGCAATGCATACCATGCTTCACTTCTGTTGTGCTCTTGTTGTCTGCTGGCTTTATGCTCACCTTGTCTGATACGCACCGCATAAATGTCATCGAGAGTTTCTGGAGCAGTGCCCTATTCCAACAGCCCCATCACAACAGATAAGACCCGTAGTTCTCCAAATGCTTCTCACAGATAGAATTTGAAGATTACTTCTGTACAGAGACGATACGAACCAAAGTATCATTTCAGGTTGGAGTTCTGTCAACTTTCAACTGTAGCAGGAATATCCTGCACGTATGGACAATTTGTGGTTTTCGAGGCACTTGCTCCCACTTGGCTCTCACTTCGTACTTGATGGTTCCGTTCATGAGGACAGTGGTGGTGAACGGACGATCGAACTGCAAGAATTAGGGGTGCAACGAAGAGGTGACATGGCAGAAGGCGTTGTGCGTTGGAAGACCAATTGGGTGCAGGATAGCGAGGACGAGGGGCTCACGATGCGTATCACAGTTTCCTCTGGAGCGAGGTTTGTCGTGTCAGCAATATGGAATGTGGGGTTTAGAATGGCCATACAGATTTTTAAGAAAAGCGGATAAAGTGACCCTGAGCGTTTGCTCCACCAACCCAAGAGCGCATACTCTGTAGCATGTGTGGCAGCATGCAAGAAGTGGCCAAATTCGGAGGAAGAAAAAGTTCGAAATATGTCTAGTAGGGGTGCATTTACAATTGTTGACTACAAGGCGGGCCAATCTCCATCAGCATCGTCGCTTTTTCCCGAAAAGTTCTCGAGAGTTTATGGTTTGCTGCAAGGGTGATGGTACCACTTCTGTCTTCATGGTAAGAATCAAAACTTTAGGTAATTGCAGCTGGTGCTAGATGCTTGGAATTGCAAGAGCGAGAAGGGACGACTTTAGTCGCGGAGAGAAGTAGCAGGGAATTAATTGTTCGGAGCACGACATCGTCACACTTTGTAAGGTATTGGTCTTCTTCACATGTTCTTGCGGGTAGATGTCTTAGATGATTGAAACTGGGCGCCAAGCGCAAGATCCCAACAGAGTGTCCTTTTGTGGCTTATTTGTGCGAGTGTGCAGCATTGCAAAGCTGTGGCGGTGAATGTTCTGGAGCGGAGGTAGACGCTCTTGATGGGTTGGGAGAGAACGTGGATGCTAGACTCTGGCAGTACTGTAGCAATTTTATGCCTCTACACTCATCTTCGTCGCTCCAATTATGGATCAGTTCGCCTTTGCATTTCTCTGCCCAGAAATAAATTCTGTCGAGATGCCCTAAGTAGATTTCAGATTTCAGACGTTGGGTTGATGTTTGACGGGTTCTGAGTTTACATTTTAGTGTCGGCAGATTGAACACCTTCCACATCAAGATGGAAAGTGCCGAATTCTCAAATCTTTTCAGAAAGTCAAAGCATTTTCGCTTCGCAAACCTCAGCTCTTTTTCAATTCCTCTGCTTGAGAACGCCGTCCCCTTACGTTCCTGGTGATGATGCTTGTCACGAAATGATCTAGTGGGTAGCATTCGGTACGTTAATTGTAGAAAGCAAAGTAAGCGGGTGACAATTCGCGCAGGACAGGCTCCTGCTAAACATACCCAGTTCTGGAGTCTCGATTTGTGGACCCATGTTGGAGAATGATCAGTGGTCTCTTCCATCGCAGGGACAGTGGAGGACCATCACGAATACTGGACGAATTTCGAGTGCGAGTCATGGCCAAGAACGCTGTTGCAGGCGTTTCTAACTCGCAGTGTGGAATGATAATTAAACCTTCTGCGTCAATGAGGGCAACACGTGAAACTCTCCGATGGAGCAACATCGTATCCAACAAAACTTGCACATCATTCCGTCGTTTAACCGTGAAAATTCATGCGATGGGAAGATTAAATGTTCATTGTGTTGAGACCTCCCATCCCTGCAGACCAAGGCTCATGTCTGCCCCTTTCGGAGGAAGATTGCCCACTTTTCAAATTCGCGCATCACATGGCGAGAATGTCTTGCCTCCTCCAGCTCTGTCAGGTGACAATGGCGTGGCCACTCTCGATTCTCTTCTGGATGGTTCCTCCAGCGAGAATAAGACAATCCCTGATAAGATCGACGATCGCAGTGACCGTTGGGAGGCGATTATCGAGCGGGTATGTGCAATTTGTGACCCAGCAGTGCTCCTGAGAAATCGTTTCAACACCTGTTCTGTTTTTTGCAAGGTGGATTATCACTATTTTTATCATTGTTCTTGTTTCACAGTAGGATGCTTCATGTTAATGTTGTGCTTAGTTTAGTTTTTCACGCTGGTATGTTTGGATTGCAGGTGATTTTCAACTGTCGGTTCTTCACACTCATGGCAGTTGTGGGATCTCTGGTCGGTTCAGTGCTGTGTTTCTTGAAGGTATGGCCGGGACCAAGTCTTTGATCTGCAATTATTAAGAGAATGGTTGTATTTTGGTTATCAACTTAGGGATGTTATGTAAATTTTGATTGGACTCACTCAATAGGCATTAGATTTGGATGAAGTAGTCTTGCATTTTAGTTCAAATTTAGATTGGTTGAGATCTTGACTTCTTGTGTTTCTTTGGATCAGGGCACCTTGTTTGTGACACAGTCCTTCGTGGAATATTTTCAAGCAGCATGGCAAGGTCTTAGTACCAGTAAAGTTGTGTTTCTCCTCGTGGAAGCTGTTGGTAGGCCATTTATCCTTTTATCTTGAATTCCATGTTCAAACTCTGCAGTGGATGTATGGTTGGGAAACGTGGGGTCGTATCAATTGTGGACTTGGACCAGGAGAAACAAGTATGTGAGGGCAGAGGTAAGAGCAAGTTTGTCTCCTTGATATTTCTCAGTACTTCTGAATGTTATTCCTGTGAGTAATTGTTGGCATGGTGATGACGGGTTTTCAGATGTATACTTAATGGGAACTGTGATGCTCATATTTGGTATGGGACTTTATGAGCTTTTTGTGGACACGTTGGAGGTGTCTGGCGCTGAGTGTGAGGAAGTACGAGAACCCGCATGTGGTTCAAATCTGTTTGGCCTCTTTCAAATGAAGGTAAGATGACCTGCAACCATCCGCGGTTGAAGAGTTTTCCACCATCACAATGGCTATGTATTTGGGGCTTTCTTCATGCTGTTTTTGAGTTGACACGGCTCTCGTGCTGCATGCAGGAGCGGCCAAAGTGGCTTGAAATCAGGTCGCTGGACGAGTTAAAGACTAAGCTTGGGCACGTGATAGTGATGATTTTGCTGGTTGGAATGTTCGAAAAAAGTAAGAAGGTGCCGATCAACAATGGGCTTGATCTGCTCTGTTTTTCTGCTTCCATTCTCCTCTCCTCTGGCTGTCTCTTTCTGCTATCTAAACTTCACAGCACTCACAGCGGCGCCCATTAAGGTCCAGATTCTGGAGCAATTTTTTCATGTAGGGAACTATACAACCAATCAATTGCATCTTACGTGATGACTGACAACCTGTAATTATGATTTTCATTTGTACACTTCTAGAGGCTTCTTTGTTTTACTTCCAGATTACAGCCCTCAACTAAGTTTGTTATTCGACTTAAGTTTTTACTGGATGTAAATACCCATTTGTGTATCATACTAAATGGTTTTATCTGCATTACCAGACAAAATTCCATGATTTGCATTGGAAATGTTCCATTGCCGAAATTTCTGCTACTCAATCAGTTTGATTCAGTTGAAGAAGCGTTATGAGATCATGCAGAAAACGAATTTGATCTAAGCAGTTTTCTCAAAGATATCTGTAAAATGATTACAGAAGGCATCATACAAGTAGTGAAACGATTTTATCTTTTTGAATCTATCCTAGTTATCTACCAAATGTGGGTGCATTATAACAAACAAATCAGAGATGTATCACTTAACTACATAGGGATTGGTTATAGAAATGAGATTGTGAAGATTTGGCTTCTATTAAAGTGTATAATAAAATATGGGTAGATCAATCAAGTTCATTAATATTTGTTTATTTTACAGGAATAAACCAATAAGCGTTCATGGAAAGTTCATTTAAAGTGTTCATGGAAACACATAGAATAATAAATTTTAAATCTATGAAAATCTACTTTTTCTAGTATTATGTTTGGTTCTTTTAATAAACAATGAATTAGAAGCTTTCAAAAATATGTTTGAAATCGATTCTAAATTCTACACAATGGACTTCAAGTCATTCAAATATATCATGTTCATGCACTTCAATGTATTTTCCTTCAATAGCACCATTTTCTTAACATGTAAATATATGATTTTTAGTACATGATTTAAATACTATAAGTAAAATAAAATAAAATTTTATAAGAAAAATTAGCAAATTTATGTGCTATAAAATATTTTATGCAAATTTTATTTTTAAAATAACAACAAGACTTAAAACAAGGTATTTGTTTTTATTAACAATCTCTAAATGTATTTTAGATTTGTATGTCTGTAGAATTATGTTTTACTTAACATGTTTATTGAATCTAAAAATACTCACTACAAATTAAAAAAAAAATAATGATTAATAAATATTTTCTTTTTAAATGTATATATATCTAAGTCCTTTCACTTGATACCTAGTTTTCCTAGAAACTAATGTTTGAAATCAATTTTTTTTATAGTTAAGATTTAAATTAAGATTTTTTTAGAATTATTTTTTAAACTTATATCATACAAAATTCTCCTCTTTAACAATAAATGTTATTTCTTACAAGAAGAAGAATTAATTATTAGAGGTTATTAATTATGTGGTGTTTGTTAATTATTAGAGGTTATCAATTATGTGGCATTTGTTAATTAGCTTTGTCGATTGATAAAAGTTAGTGAAAATCAATTTATTAGGCACCAAAGAATGGAGTTGATTTTTAAAATTTTGATTAGTTATTAGAAATTATTAGTTTTTAGAATATTAATTAACAAGGGGGATTATGAATATATATATATATATATATATATAAAAAGCGAGCGAGAGAATTATTTCAAGAAAATTTAGTCTTTATGCATAAAAATACATATATATATATATATAGATAATACCACTACAAGTTCAGTACCAAAAAACTAAGAGAACAAGCAAGCAAGATAGTTTTGAACACATCAAGTCCTTAATTAGAGTCTCAACACAATGCCCTCTAGAACTTAAATGTAAATAATATTTAATTTTTTTTATTTTTTATGTATAAATACATCATATAAAAAATTAAAAAATCATCAAACACATGCACTAATGAACTCTATCCTACAGAAATCTCACAACCAAAAGCACAAGTTCACTCAGATTAATTTAGATTCAAAGCACATACTTGCTCAACATGTTAAATCAACTCAAATCCCAACTCCAAAACCCAATTACCACACAGTTTCCAAACCTTAATTTTATCCTATGAAAACCTTAACTCACTTCCATAAACCCCGTATTTGACAACTCATGCAGAGACTCCAACTTGTCCCAAACATCACACGTTCCCCTCCAAGTAACTAATCCTCAAATTAAGAACCAACTAATCCACTCACTAACTAAACATCTGTGTGTGGGATTAGCAACTGTATTCCATGGCAATGGCGAAGAAGGAAGTCCCTTGAGCCTCGTCTCCTCACGCCGAAGCATCGCAAAGCCATCGTTGTAGCAGCAGCTGCTTCAGCAGAGTCGAGGATTCGAGATGGGGATGTTGCGAGGTTGCTGATTTCGCCGCTGGGTTTTGGAACTGGGCGAGAGGGGCTATAGCATTAGAGCAGTTGGATGGGCGCCGCGTTGCCAAGGAGGGTTGTGTGACAGAAGCGAGAGGCGCGGCGTTGCCGAGCTGTGCCGGTAGACAAGAGCTGAAAATTGTTGCCGAGAAGAAGAGCCATGCTGGTGAAGGTGATTTTATTCCAATCGAAGTCGTTTTCATGGGGGAGGGGCATGGCGTGAATTTGTATTGGGTTCGTGAATTGGCTGGGTGTGCGTGTGCGTTTGAGGTAGGTTGCATCCATTGAAGAGAATCTGCGGCGCGTAATCTGAAATCTTGCGGAAGTGTTCGTGTTCTTCACAATGTCATGGGCATGGCTAATCTCAATTCTCTCTCTCGCTCTCGATCTTTGCTTTCAGGAAGCTCTTGGCATCTTTATTCTGTAAAGCTGGCTGCAGGAAGGTAACCCTTGGATATTCGTGCGTGTGCTAATGTGCTTGGTACAGCTTAAATTTATTTTTTTGCCTTCAACTTCTTTTGTCGGTGGGACTTTGCTGAAGCTTTTGAGATTGGATGGCAGATGCAGACATTGGGACTGAAACATAATCAAGAAAGAAAAAAGTTGGAATTCGCAGTGTTTGTTCTACGTGCCAGGCCACACAAACATATTTCGTATAAAATCGTTTCTTCTGAAGGAGTCTGAACGAATCAATCACAACGTTTCAAACAAATTAGTCAGAAGTCTCAATCTGTTGAATGATTTGGCCTGTTGCAGCGGCAGGCTTCCTCGTGGAAGCTGGCAAGACTGCATGGGATGCGAGCACAAATCTCATTCCTGTACGTGCATCTCAACTTGACCATGACCATCGGAAAACTTTCCTCTGCCATGGGAGTTCGACACAGGATCTAGAATGAAGTGGTCTTAGTTATTACCTTGCAGTAATAGAATTGAACCTAATATGAAAAGTAAGGTACAATTTATTAATCTGTATGAACATGACTAGAGTTGGAGAAGAATTGAGTGTTCGCTCTCGAGGCCTTGCAGGAGAGTGTACCCAGAGGAGTGGCTCGTATTACTGTCGGAGTTGTGGGCGTATCTTTGATTATTCATGCTTTAAGAGCATTCTTCTCAACGGCCCTCTTTATCATGGTATGATCTTGATCCTGATCACCATGAAAGGCTGAATCATGACGATTTACTCTGCGTAACTTTATTGTTCCCTGTATTATATTGCCGTTGCGTACTCTCTGTTCTCTGTTCGAATAAGAATACAACCTTCTCAGAAGTTCTTGACTGTAAACTGCGAATGAAAGCCTTTTTTGTGGAAGTGCATCGGACTGGTTTGTGACAACGCATTAAATCAATGCATTGTAAGCGAATTACTTTTCTAGCAGATGTATTCTAGTGCCGGTCATGGTCACTTGAGAGAATTCCATTTCTTGCTCTGAGATTAGATATAGAACCATCTTTTCTTTTCTTTTTCTTTTGCACTCACAGACAAGGAGACTCTTGGATTGGAATTAGATGATTCTTCACTCAAACCCCTGCAAACGTCCAATAACAATCTTGTATTAGTGCTGTGATGGACATCACATTGAAGCTTGAGGTTTTTATCTTAGACTGAGCAATGGGCGCACACACAATTAACAGGTGATCTCGTAACTGAAGCAGGGAATTGCAGGATTCAGTTACTTGGCACCTATACACCTTAACAAAAACAGTGACTCGGGAAGCGCTGGCGGTGTCAAGCCTCCTAATACAGAGGTTTCACTGGAGGAAGCCCGTCGTATAATGGAGACATACAAATAGGATTTTCCACGTTTAACAGTCGGATCAGAGGGCGCCCCTAAGTTTGAGTTGGGGTCCGAACTAGTCACTGTTGACACTCTTTTGCATCGAGCTCACGTTCGTTATACATTTTTTTTTTAATTTCTTAAATTGTTAACTAAGCAGAAGATAAAACCCCATCCTTGCACGAGAATGTCATGCATCCGAATTTCCCCACTGAATCGACTGTAGCTAAAAGTGAATAGATTTTTTTCTACTTTCCACCTCTCCAAGGCTGTAGGGGTAAAGCAGGTCTGGATCACTGCATGTATTTAACCCTGTTAGGATTAGGGTTTCAGAGTATGGCATGCTGCAGTACTCAACTGCTGGGAAGATCCTACTCTCAACCAAGCCACGCTATAGTCAACATTTCCTCTAACGAATCGTGTTCCTTCATTGCAGAAACGTGAAAAAGTTGACATGTGCGAATGGTGTGTACAATGCCAAGTTTTGCAGATTCTGCCAAAGATGGGTATCAATATTGCACGATTCACGATCCAAGGCCGTGAGTCAGATCCAAGCCCGCAACAGAGAAAACCCTGGCACAACATCAACAGAACCCAAAGCAGACGGAGGACATAACCATCATCCTGGTGTGAGCAGTTAATGGAACTGCATGTAGCTCACCTCAAGTGGAGGCAAGTGGGATGCGCAACCAGAGCAGCGCTGTTCATTGGGCTTCCTCAACTTGTGGGTGGCTTAATCTGCCTCAACGACGTGTCAGGAAAAAGACAATCCAACAAACCAACGAAGCAACAAACAAACTCCACCAGGTTTGCTGCGCATCATAGATAACGCACTGATTCGTTTTATTCTTCACAGAACAACCAATGAACCAAAAACAATAAAAATAAAAATAAAATGAAAAGTTGGAAGTATCTGCAGCACACCTTGCCGACGTGATTGGTGTGGGCTAGAGCACAACGTTACCTATGTAAAATGCTTATCGAAACATTTAAGTCAACACTATATATGTGTATGTATATATATATATATATATATATATATCTTTATATCTGGCAGTTTGTTGTTTCTTTTTTTTTAAACGTAGGTTTATCTGAATACTTTTGCAAAAAAAAAAAAAAAAAAAAAAAAAAAAGTCAAATATAAGTTAAGCAATTAGGGTGCTGAATTGGTTTTTTCAAAGGACTTTATGTGCTCAATACAATTTGAACATCTACTGACATCTAGTTGGGATTTTTTTCATTTTCTCTTTCTTTTTAAATTTACATGGGCGATGATGTTAGAAAATAATGTAAACAAAGTCGATAAAAGAAGTGGTGTGAAGCAATGAACTGGTGTCAAGTTCAAATTTGATCAAAAACTTTTGCAAATTAACAATTAACATCATTAAAAATATTGTAATTTCTATGAAACATATTATATAAAATGATTAAATATGATAATTATTTTCTAGGAACTATCTTTGTAAAAACCAATTTTGCAGGTTTTGCATACAATAAAAATTAACATTTTTCTGTGGTAGAAATAAATATTGTGTTAGTTTTAATGTATGCAAAATTTAGAAAATGGGTTTAAATTGGTTAATTAAAAATATTTAATTATTACTATAAATATTTTGGTTAAATCAACCAACTATAATAAAGTATCATATATTAATAAAGATTGTTATAACATTTTTTTAAAGAAAAATCAAAATAACTATATTGCTAAGATATAATATGAAATTATAGACTTATAAGTATAAATGTATTAACAACTTGTCTACCAACTACACTTTTATTTACTAATAAAACACTACTCTTAATAACCACATATTAATAAGGTAGATTTTAACAAGAATATGGGAGAACTACAAACTTGTGGTAGACTAGGATAATTACATGGCTTCATCACCAAATAATGATTGCTACAATAAATCAATTTATAACACAACCAAGAATATTTTTATTTATTGATTGATAAAATATTTAAAGATATACTAATATAGTTTAGTTTTTTATGGAAATAGTATTTTATCACAAAACAAACTCAAATATAGCCCTTAAATCTGTTATGATTTTTTATAAAAACTTCTTAGAATGCAACTTAATAGTCAAGACTTTTAAAAAAAGCTTCTACTAAAAATTTGGATAGGAATTTGGATGTGAATTCTTCTAAAAAACGTTCTTTAAAATCTACTTAACTAACTTTGCTAAAAAACTATGTTTGAATTCTTTTCTATAAATCTTTTATAAGAAACTAAATATAATGATACTATAAACTAAAACCGCAAGTCTTTTGCATTTCAAGTAACATATATATGTATATATATATATATATATATATATATATACATATAAATGCAATCAAGATAATACATAATCTCATGAAGTATTTTCTTAATATTTTTTCTCACTTGACAAATATGTAGTGTTATATCTTCATATTGTTGATTTGGTTATTGCACTCAGATTCATATTTATATTTCCAATAAATCTTGGTCTTATATGTAAAATAAATATATTTATTTTTAGTATTTAGAAATAACAGAATTAAGTAGATTTAATACTTCTAATTATTTCTAATAATTCACAAGGTTTAACATAATTTTAGTCCTTAGTTAAAAACGTTTCTTTTGTGTTTGTATAAAAACCATGTATCATGTGCTGTCAAGGACAAGAACTCGATGAAAAAATAATTCAGACAAGTGAACCTTCACTCAAAGAGAAGTAACAAAATATACATAAACAAGTATATATATTAAAAGAGGAATTGGAATGGCTATTGCCAAAAGACAAGAAAACTAGAGACCCTTGAAACTAGACTAGAAGCAAGAAAGGAGTTGACAAGAGTGAAGAAGCCTTCACTCTTGTCTCTATATATACTCTCTAACTAGGGGCTACGTGGTGACGTTCTATAGGACCTCCAATATGTGTTGACTTTATAGGGCACATGCCTTGACTTACAAAGCAAGTTTTTCTACGTGTAGGCCACATAGTTAGCTTGATCTTCAAGCTAACAACATGTGTGGCACATGGCCAACTTGTTGACCACGTTTCTAATCCAAAAAGTCAATTAAAGACACCTATGAAGTCAAAGCAGTGTCTAGGAAATTTCTAGGAAGCTTCTATATTAAATATTATAGAATTAACTTACTTTTACTTACTTCTACCTATTTCTATATGTAATTATTAGCTTACATGATTATGGCCGTGACATTACCCCCCCTTCTAGGGACGAGTTCCACGAGGAGCGGTCATCATATGTTGAGGAAATCTATGATGCGACAAATTCTATTCGACACATACTCTGATCTCTTTTCTCTTCAAAGATGATTGATAGGGCCTCTCAACCATCGGTAGTGTCCCATACCATGGCAGGAAGATCACCCAGTTATTTGATCACTGTTGAGGCCTTCGTAACTTCCTTCGAATAGAATATTTGGAACACCATCAGGAGTTGTTCCTACCTCTAGCAAAATCACCAAACATCGGGAGTCCCTTCCCAAATTGTGATACCAAACGCGTTGTATCTCACCATCTATTCGGGGAAGAACATGTCGTTCTTGAAGATCTTCATCTCGATTGCGTCGTCTTGAAGGTTGTGACAATCGTAATGTCTCGTCCGGCATGTCAGTAAATGAAGGCTCTTGAATTAAATCCATTGGTTGTTGGTTCTCCATCTCCTGAGCGCCACTACTACAACGAAGCTACGAACAAGAATTGAAAGTAGAATGTTATCTTGCCTAGATGTTGTTTCTTTTATAAAGAAGGTTTTCATCTTGATTTCGATGGATGTCGTTGATGAAAAGCCTCCACTGCCTTTGCTGCATTTGCAAGATTCTTCATTGGCTCCCATGTGCGTTCACTAATATCATATCCACGCCAATGGACAAGATATTGTATTTTATTTCGACGCCGCCTTGAATCTAAGACTTCTTCTACTTCAAACTCTTCATTATTGTCCACTTCTATAGGAGGAGGTGGAGCTTGTCGTCTTCTTGGTATGTCCACTGTCTTGTATGGTTCAAGAAGAGATACGTGGAATACTGGATGGATTTTCATTGTCTTCGGTAGATGTAAACGATATGCAACTAGATTTATTTGTGCAGAAATAGAAAATGGTCTCAGCCTTCGATAGTCCAACTTGACGCAAGGACGAGTGGTCTTGATATTACGACGAAGTAGCCATACCTTATCACCCACGTTGAGTTGTGGTTGCTCCTTACGATATACATCTGCGTTTATCCTTTGTCGTTCTTGAGCTTCCTTCAATTACGTCTTCATTATTGCATGTAACTCTGACAACCGATTTGCCATATCTTCTGCTGCAGGATTATCAACTTTTGAAAAATCAAAAGCATCAAGTCGTGGATGATAGCCATAATTGGCAAAGAAAGGTGTTTGTTGCGTGGAAGAATGTACCGTATTATTATAAGCAAACTTTGCCAATGGCAGAAGGGTTGTCCAATCATCTTGTTGGTAGTTGATGGTACACCTTAAATACTGCTTCAAGACTTGGTTTACGCGCTCTGTTTGTCCATCAGTTTGATGATGGAAAGCCGAAGATAGCTTTATGTCCACTTTTAAAATCTTGAAAAGGGTCCTCCAAAATCTCGACACAAATTGAGTTCTCCTATCCGGTATGATATCTTTAGGTAATCCATGATAGCGATAGATATTATCAATGAAAAGCTTAGCTGTTTCTTCACCTGTGATAGATTTTGTACATGGCACAAAATGTGCCATCTTGGTGAAACGATCTACTATCACAAATATAGAATCATAAGATCTTGAGCTTAAAAGATCTGTGATGAAATCCATAGAAACAGCAAACCATGGTTGTTCTGGTATAGGTAATGGCTGAAGAAGTCCGTAAGGTCGATGACGAGGAGTTTTTGATCTTGAACAAATATCACATGATTGTACAAAGTCTTTGACTGACTTCCACATTTGTGGCCACCAAAAATCTCTTGATATGAGTTCCAAAGTCTTATTATATCCAAAGTGTCCTGCTGCTAGAAAATCATGACGTGCTTGAAGAACACGTAAACGTGCTTCTCCTTCTGGAACATATAGGCGTCCTTCAAAATATAATAGATTATTCTTGAACTCAAACTTAGAAGAATCATAAGACTTGGAAGAATTATTCTCAATATTATGAACAAGAGGGTCTAAGGACATACTGGACTGGATTTGCTTGAGAAAAGTTGAATCAACAGTCAATGTTGATTTCATTGCTCGGAGATGAAATTGCTCCGGTTTCAAGAGGACCGTTCTTTGTTGCTCAAAAGCTGCATCTCCTTCTTTTGGTGCAAAATAAGAACGTCTAAATAGGGCATCGGATAAACTTTGTTGTTTTCTTGGCCGATAAGTGATAATGAACTCGAATCTTGACAAAGACATACTCCAACGAGCTTGACGACGATTCAACATGCGTGCTGACATGAAATACTCGAGGTTCTTGTGATTTGTATACACAGTGACTGGACTAGAAGCGCCTTCTAGATAATGACGCCATTCTTGAAAGGAATCCACGATCGCAAGAAGTTCTTTATCGTGGATCTCATAATTGATCTCGGCTGCTGAGAATTTTCTTGAATGAAAAGCTATCAGATGAAGTTTGTCATCTGTTCCCATTTGTGATAAAACTACACCCAAGGCAAAATTTGATGCATCTGTTTTCATAAAAAATATCTTGGAAAAATCAACACGATATAAGACTGGTGCAGAGACAAACGATGTCTTCAAGGCTTCAAATGCTGCTTCCGCTTCTTGATTCCATTGGAATTTATCTTTACTAGTCAAGCGTGTAAGTGGAGCTGCAACTCGTGAAAAGTCTTTGATGAAGATCCAATAGTAATTGGCAAATCCCAAGAAACATTGGACATCTCTTACTGTCCTTGGAATCTTCCAATCCATGATTGTCTGGACTTTCTTAGAATCCATCATGAGACCATCATTTGAAATGATGTATCCTAAAAAGTCAACTTGAGTAGTATGAAATACACACTTTTCCATCTTGGCGTACAATCCTGCATCTCTAAGTTTTTGTAATACTTGACAAACATGTATTTCATGTTCTTCGATGTTGTTAGAATAGATCAGGATATCGTCTAGGTAGCAGACGACAAAATTGTCTAAGAATTCATGAAATACATCATTCATGAGATGTTGAAAAGAAGTTGGTGCATTTGTGAGTCCAAAAGGCATGACTTTATATTCAAAATGTCCGTACCTGGTTCGAAACGCAGTCTTCCATTC